GGGGGAAAATGTAATATAAGTGGGGCCTGGAGACATGACTAGTGAACAGAGAAAATGTTATTTTACTGCTAGGAATGTTTGCGTTGTTAATTCTGGACCCTATTTTGAAATTGATAGAATGAAAGGAGTTATAGCGAAATAGCTGTGTTTGGTCGACTGGAACAATGGAATTGGCCGAAAATAGGGCTCAAAGTGGGCAAAACTGCTTATGCATAAATATCACTGCAATTGCTAACTTCATGAGAGTGCAATTCCATAAGTTTTCTATCAAATTTCGTACTTTTGGTTCCATCACCACAGGAAAAGGATTCTCTATCACTTCATAAGAAATTTTTTTTTTTTTTTAAATTCTTCGACGCTGAGAGCAAGTTTGTAAGCAGGGGTCGCAACAGTGAAAGGGTTAACAATCCAGATCAAATGTCCTCGAGCATGCATTAACTTACAGAATGGGCACTAGTGATTTTCTTTGACTCCCATGTGTGTGCTGTTGAAGTCAAGACAGAGAAAGATCCATCTGCTGATGCACAGGCAAGGATGAGTCCATGCTCGTGAGGTGCCCAACACAAACTGTTCACTGCATTAAAAAAAAAAAAAACTATATTAACAATAAAAAACTTAAACAGTATAAAAATGAACAAATATAAAGGGGCTTGCTATTCTTAGAAAAGCAATTATCCCAAGATATTCAAAAAGAGCAAGAATATTAAGTTCTCTAAAATGAAACAAACAAACTGTGAAGGAAAGAAGCATAGAATAAGAGAATATATTGGTATAGTCTAAAAGTAATTTGAGTGAAATCTGAAGTTACTCAAATGCATATGGATCATATTACATGGTTACGAAAGATGCTGGTGAAACAAAAGTTGAATTATTACTGGTGTTCTAGCACTACCATGGAAGATATGGGTTGTCCATATCAGACGATGGTCCATCTCTTGGCTTTGGTTTGAATTACATCACACACATACTACACACTCAAAATTTATTAGTACTTCTTATGAATACCATAACCAGTGCCATTTGGACAAACAAATTTAGTTTTACTGGTGAAGGAATGGAACAATTAAGAAATCAATTTTTTTTTTTTTTGCGAATACAATACAACCTCTCCTCATTTAGCGACAGGGTTCCGTTTGTAAGACTTTGTTGATTAAACAAATTCGTCGCTAATTGAGGAACCACCCATTACCAATACTTCAAGCATTTATAACAACCATTTAAAACATATTATTCATGAATGAAGCCTTTCTGTTGCCTAGTTATTATGGCTTGAAATCCTGTCAATGCTTTCACTGCCTCTTTCATTCTATCTTTATCCTTCAAGATAGTGGAAATAGTAGAATGTACCAGCTTCAGGTCACAGGCTATCACTTGCACTTTCTTACCAGCTTCACATTTGCTTATAATTTTCACCTCAAGATCAATAGCCTTCCTTTGTTTCTTGGAGCTTCCTTCGGGTGGAGTCAAGATCCTCCTTTTTGCTGACATCTTCTACTATGGGGTGCACAATGAAGTATACAAATTTGTATGAATATGTAGTCTTGGAGACTGTGAAAGCCAGTGTACTGAGTGGCTGGGGGAAGGAGACTGAGATGCTTGACGCTGAGATGGCGTGCTGCCTGTTTCCATGACCCAAGTTCTCATATGGTATACAATACCGAGTGGTCGGAGATGCTATCGTAACTCCGAGTTGTCAGTAAATGAGTACCTTGCTGAGAGGCTGCATCACCTGTACTAATCTGGAACCAGCTAATATTTCAAGAATATTAAAACTATCCCTTATTATGTTATGTATTTGGTTGTGAAAAGACAAATGATAAGAAATTTGAGAAATTTGATGAGGGTATCAAATGATTTAGATAAAGAAAAATTGGATATCAAATTGGGGAGGAGGAGTATGGAAGAAGTGAATGTTTTCAGATACTTGGGAGTTGACGTGTCGGCGGATGGATTTATGAAGGATGAGGTTAATCATAGAATTGATGAGGGAAAAAAGGTGAGTGGTGGTTGAGGTATATGTGGAGTCAAAAAACGTTATCTATGGAGGCAAAGAAGGGAATGTATGAAAGTATAGTAGTACCAACACTCTTATATGGGTGTGAAGTTTGGGTGGTAAATGCAGCAGCGAGGAGACGGTTTGGAGGCAGTGGAGATGTCCTGTTTAAGGGCAATGTGTGGTGTAAATATTATGCAGAAAATTCGGATGTGGAAATTAGGAAAAGGTGTGGAGTTAATAAAAGTATTAGTCAGAGAGCAGAAGAGGGGTTGTTGAGGTGGTTTAGTCATTTAGAGAGAATGGATCAAAGTAGAATGACATGGAAAGCATATAAATCTATACGGGAAAGAAGGGGGGTAGGGGTCATCCTCGAAAGGGTTGGAGAGAGGGGGTAAAGGAGGTTTTGTGGGCAAGGGGCTTTGACTTCCAGCAAGCGTGCATGAGTGTGTTAGATAGGAGTGAATGGAGACGAATGGTACTTGGGACCTGACGATCTGTTGGAGTGTGAGCAGGGTAATATTTAGTGAAGGGATTCAGGGAAACCGGTTATTTTCATATAATCGGACTTGAGTCCTGGAAATGGGAAGTACAATGCCTGCACTTTAAAGGAGGGGTTTGGGATATTGGCAGTTTGGAGGGATATGTTGTGTATCTTTATATGTGTATGCTTCTAAACTGTTGTATTCTGAGCACCTCTGCAAAAACAGTGATAATGTGTGAGTGTGGTGAAAGTGTTGAATGATGATGAAAGTATTTTCTTTTTGGGGATTTTCTTTCTTTTTTGGGTCACCCTGCCTTGGTGGGAGACGGCCGACTTGTTGAAAAAAAAAAAAAATTATCTACAAAAGTTACCATGCTTGATTCCATTTTAAAAGCTAACCAATCCATAACTGAACAGCAGAAGCTGTCTGTCCCGACTCAGACAGCAGAAGCTGTCTGTCCCAATTCAAACAGCAGAAGCTGTCCCAATTCAAACAGCATAAGCTGTCTGTCCCAATTCCAAGAGCAGAAGCTGTCTTTCCTGATTCAAACAGCAGAAGCTGTCTTTCCTGATTCAAACAGCAGAAGCTGTCTTAACCGATTCAAACAGCAGAAGGTGTCTTTCCCGATTCAAACAGCAGAAGCTGTCTTTCCCGATTCAAACAGCAGAAGCTGTCTTTCCCGAATCAAACAGCTTCTCTTTCTTAACCAATTCAAACAGCAGAAGCTGTCTTTCCCGATTCAAACGGCAGAAGCTGTCTTTCCCGATTCAAACAGCAGAAGCTGTCTTTCTTGATTCAAACAGCAGATGCTGTTCTTTTTCATTTAAACAGCAGACACTGTCTTTCTTGACTTCAGAAGAAATCCAGAAAATGGCTATTGAAATTTTTTACATAGAAGTTTCATATGTTTTTTCAATACAGTAGAGCAAGCAGTTTTTAATTACTCTGAACTTATAGTGTATGACGTGTGGGCATGGTATTTACCAAATCACACAAACCAAAGGCACAGAATTTATAGCAGTAATTGAGTGTGCCATATACACTGGACACCAACAATCATATTGAAAAGAACAAGAAGAATAGAGAATAGAAGGGGGTAAAAATGTAGCATATAAATTATTTTGGAGAAAATATTGTAATAGGGAAATACTGTACTAATAAATTTGGAGGATGTGCAGCATACTATTGCTAATGTAATTCAAATGAAAGCAAAGACATGGACCATCATCTGATATTGACAAGACTTTATACAATAGAATGACTTAATCCTTGGACTATGTGAAGGGCAAGTATAAAACAAGGAATTCGCCATGAGGCATTTTGAATATATTTCTTAAAGCCCCTCTTCTTTGTGGCTAACAAAAGGCATTAACTATACAATAACTGGAGTTCGATATGGAATGCAAAGACACAAACCTAACAAAATATATTAAGTGGAAAACCTTATTAAAAAATACCTGATGAATCATGATTGGCATATTCATGAACCTTTTTCCATTTGTGACCATCTTCTTGCCAAATTATTACTTTACGGTCATAACTGCACGATGCTAAAATGTTGCCATACATAGGGTGTGCCCATGCCACCTGCCAAACCTGCAAAATACATAAAAACTGAAGAGCTCAAACATAAATGATTATAATTGATGCATATTTTTTCTTTTATGTGCATTTGAATCTTCAAAACAGTTTGAAGCACTGCCAGGATACTGACCAAAAACAATATTCTAATAAATAAAAATTTTATTATAAATTTCCAAAACAGCTGTCAAAGACCAAATTCCAATATTTAGCACACAGCAATGTATGGTCCCAGTAGCAACTATGAAGAGATTGATTCACTTGAATTAATCTAAGACATCAGTAAAAAAATCTTTAAACTACCAAAATTCTGATTGTGCAACAAGCTCTTTGCACCTATAATTCAACAGGCAATACAGCACATTATGTGGTACTAAGGCTGTGATGCACTATATTTTGTTGTAATGGTTAGTTTGTCACAACTGTGTGGAAACAAAAGACAATAAATGAAAAAAAAATCAGTTCCCGAAAATCACTTACAAACTGATTAAGTGTCATACCACAATTGAGGTCCAGGTCTTTGCTTTTAAAAATGGAGAGAACATGGAGGAAGTGAAAGAGTTCAGACATTTGGGAGTGGACTTGTCGGTGGACGGGTCTATGAAAGATGAGGTGATTCACAGAATTTATGTGGGGTAAAAAAAGATGGGTGGTACACTGAGGCATCTGTGGAGACAAAAAACATTAACCATGGAAGCAAAATGGGGAAAGTATTTGACTATAGTGGTACCAAGGCAGTGAAGATTTCATGCTTGAGGGCAATGCATGGCATAAATATTATGCAAAGAATTTGAAGTTTGGAGATTGGGTGTGGGGTTACTAAAAGCATTGTTCAGATGCCTGAGGAGTTGTTGAGTAGTTTTGGAGCACAATAGCATGACTAGAATGTATATAAATCGTCATTAACGGAGGTAAGGCTGGGTGGGAGTCAACCTAAGAAAAGTTGGAGTAAAAGAGTTTCGTATGCGAGGGGCCTGGGACAATCCAATATGCGCTCGCGTGTGCGTTATGTAAATATTATATAATCATATAGAATTATAAATATATATATATATATAGAATAACTATATATAATATATATATATATATATATATATATTATATATATCTATATATAACTATATATATCAATATATATATAATATATATATCTATATATAACTATAATAAATTATATATATAAATATATAAATCTAATATATAATAAAATATATAAATATAACTATATATATCTATATATATAAATCTATATCTATATATATATAAATCTATATATAATATATATATATATATATATATAAATATATAAATATATATATATATATATATATATATATATTATCTTCACTATATATTCTATATCCTATATATATCTAAATCTATATATATTTATATAAAATATATATCTATATATATATATCTATAAATTATATAATATCTATATATACTATAACATATAAAAAAATCTAGATATATATAGAACATATAAAAATATATATAATATATATAATATATAAAAAAATAATATATATATATATATATATAAAAATATATATATAATATATATCTAAATATGCAATAAGATCACAGTAAACAGGTGAGTTCAAAAATATGCAAAACAACCACTCTGAAAGAAAAGAGAAATTCCAAGCGCTTTCGTGACTACTCACTTCTCAAGGAACTATGATAGTTCAATGATAATGTGATAGTCCGCCACGAAAGCGCTTGGAATTTCTCTATTCATCAGAGTGTTTGTTAAGCATCTATATATATATAATATATATATAGGGTGGAATATATATATATATATAAATATATATATATATAAAATTTAAATATATATATATATCATATATCTATCTATCTATCAAACTATATATATATATATATATATATATATATATAAATATTATATATATATATATATAAATATATATATATATATATAAATGATATAATATAGTATTATTCGAACAAGTTGGATACTCTCCCACCGAGCAGGTGACCCAAAAAAGAAAAGAAAATCCCCAAAAAGAAAATACTTTCATCATCATTCCAACACTTTCACCACACTCACACATTATCACTTTGCTTTGCAGAGGTGCTCATAATACAACAGTTTGAAGCATATATTATAAAGATCACAACATATCCCTCCAAACTGCCCAATATCCCATTACCCCTCCTTGAAAGTGGCGGCAAGGAGTATCATCCCATTTCCAGGACTCAAGTCCGACTATATGAAATAACCGGTTTCCCTGAATCCCTTCACTAAAAAATACCCTAGCACACAACACCAACAGATCATCAGGTCCCAATATCATTCGTCTCCATTACTCCTATCTAACACGCTCATGCACGCTTGCCTGGAAGTAACCAAGCCCCTCGCCCACAAAACCTCCTTTAACCCCCTCTTTCCAACCCTTTCGCGGATGACCCCTACCACTTTCTTCCCGATAGATTTATAATGCTTTCCAAGTCATTCTACACGTTGATCCATTCTCCTAAATGACCCTAAATCAACCTCAACAACCCCTCATCTGTCCCACTGACTAATGCTTTTATTAACTCCACACCTTCTCCTAATTTCCACACTCCCAATTTTCTGCCTAATATTTTACACGAAACATTGCCTTAGACAGGACATCTCCACTGCCTCCAACCGTCTCCTCGTGCTGCATTTACCACCCAAGCTTCACATCCATATAAGAGTGTTGGTACTACTATAACTTACATACATTCCTTCTTTGCTCCCATAGATAACGTTTTTTTGACTCCACATATACCTCAATGCACCACTCACACCAATTTTCCCTCATCAATTCTATGATTAACCTTCATCCTTCATAAATCCATCCGCCACACGTCAACTCCCTAGTATCTGAAAAACAATTCACTTCTTCTCATACCCTCCCCCCAATTGATATCCAAATTTTTCTTATATCTAAATATTTGATACTGCCCACAATCACTTACTCTACTCTTTTCTCTGTTCACTTTACAACTTGTCTTACCTTTACACACATACTCAACTCATCCACTAACCATTGCAATTTTTCTTTAGAAATCTCCCATAAGCACACGCATCATCAGCAAAAAGTATCTGGTCAATTCCATTTTTATTGAATTTGATTCCCCATAATTTAATCCCACCCCTCTCCCGACACGCCTAGCATTTACTGTCATATACATAAACATACATACATACATATAATATACATATATAATAAGATATATATATATAAATATTATATATATATATATATAATATATATATATATATATATATATATATATACAGGGACCCCCTGGCTAGACATAACGAAGGACATCGATATTCGATTTTTCTTTTTCCGCATAACGATTACTTTTATCGCAAAATTTTTGGCCGCGCATACCGCTTTAAAACCCGCATATACCGATTTTCGTCCGAGACGCGTCCAATGTGCCCACAGCCAGCCTCAACACATGTGCCGCTCCGTCCCATTGTTTACCAGCCAGCCTCGCGCGGTAACATCCCAAGCATACACTCCGAATATTTCGTATTATTACAGAATATTCGGTGCTGATTCTGGAAAATACGTGACGCAAGGGCCCCCAGAAAGCATTCTAGTGCCAACCCTGGTGGTAAAAAGGGTGAGAATTATTATGGAAATTAAGAAAGATTTGAAGGTTAGGGGCTAACCAACCCTGAGAAGCCTATGCCATTTGTGGAATCCACTGTCCTACTTCAAAGAATTAAGTGAAAGTGTGCAGAGTGGGTTGAACTGCAAACCTTTATAGATGAAAATCAATCAACCCTGACACAGCTGTTTGCAAGCCGTGCTTGTGACTATTTCAATGACAATGTTATGGCCCAATATATAAAGTCTTGAAGAACGGGAGTACAGAGCTCTATGGACAGATTTGTTTGTGCGACAAGGTTCCAGTGACTCTCAAGCTGGTCCCTAGTGCATTAAAAGAAGAAGGGAAGTAACCCCAGAAAAGGACTTGCTTACCTCAAGTCCTAATGGAAGGGGATTCCCCGTTCAACAAACATAAGAAGATAGCTCTCCACTCCTCCCATCCCATCAATCATCACCAGATCTTCAATAAAATTATGTGTTCATGTAATTGTGCATCCTATTTTTCAGTTTTGTGTGCATTACAATTAACATTTTCATGTGGTAAAAAAAATTTTTTTTCATATACTTTTGATTTTTTGGCGTCTTGCACGGATTAATTTATTTCCCATATTTCTTATGGGGAAAAATTCATCGCATAACGATTATTTCGCATAACGATGAGCCCTCTTGCACGGAATAAAATCGTTAACCCGGGGGTCCACTGTATAAAGTATTTTTTTTATCACACTGGCCGATTCCCACCAAGGCAGGGGTGGCCCTAAAAAGAAAAACTTTCACCATCATCATTCACTCCATCACTTCCTGCTGCCAGAAGGGTGCTCTACACTACAGTTTTTAACTGCAACATTAAACACCCCGCCTTCAGAGTGCAGCACTGTACTTCCATCTCCAGGACTTAAGTACCGGCCTGCCGGTTTCCCCCTGAACCCCTTCATAAAAGTTCACTTTGCTCACACACTCCAAACAGCACGTCAGTATTAAAAACCATTCGTCTCCATTCACACCTATCACAACACCTCACGCAAGCCTTCTGAAGTCCAAGCCCCTCGCACACCAAAACCTCCTTTACCGCCCCTCCCTCCAACCTTTCCTAGGCCGACCAAGCGACCCCTACCCGCGCTTTCCTTCCACAACAGCCTGAATACACTCTTGAAGTCATTCTGTCTCGCTTCCATTCTCTCATACATGTCGAACCACGACAACAAACCCTTCTCAACCCTCTGGACAACAGTTTTTGGTAATCCCGCACCTCCTCCTAACTCCAACCTAACGAATTCTCTGCATTATATTCACACCCACACTTGCCACTCAGACATGACATCTCCCCTGCCTCCATCCTTCTCCTTGCTGCAACATCAACACCCATTGCTTCACACCCAATAATAGCGA